TTTCTGTTAAATAAAATATCTCCTTTTGAAGTGGACTTTGAGCTTTGTAACTTTGCAGATCTTTTTTATGCTCAAACAGCAACATTACAGACTAACTAAAGTTGAAAAAGTGAAAAAGCATTAATAGGACCCCTTTAAGTCACTGGGGTATAGTTGTAGCAATAGCCAAAAAAACATTGTATGGGTCAAAATTATCGATTTTTCTTTTATGCCAAAAATCATTAGGATATTAAGTAAAACTCATGTTCCATGAAGATATTTTGTAAATGTCCTACCGTAAATATATCAAAACTTAATTTTTGATTAGTAATATGCATTGCTAAGAACTTCATTTGGACAACTTTAAAGGTGATTTTCTCAGTATTTTGATGTTTTTGCACCCTCAGATTCCAGATTTTCAAATAGTTGTATCTCGGACGAATATTGTCCTATCCTAACAAACCATACATCAATGGAAAGCGTATTTATTCAGCTTTCAGATGATGTGTAAATCTCAATTTCGAGAAACTGACCATTATGACTGGTTTTGTGGTCCAGGGTCACATATTTTTGGATGGTACTGATATGTATAGCCTTACCGAGCAGCACAGTCGTATGCCAGAACATCTGTCTCGGCCAGCAGGTCTCCATCAGTCTCGTGGTCTCCTCCATCTGGCCCCAGCTCAAACAACTGCAAACACAATCACAGCTCTCAATCACAAACTCGTGAGAATTAAGCGGGCTATGGAGACACTTAGATAGCACCTGACCTTGATTTTTGCAGTGTACTCCCCTCGGCCACCAAAAAGACCCAATCCTCCTAACAAGATGTCAGCATCGGCGCAGAAGCGGATGGCCTCCACTGAGTGGGCAGAGTAACCCCAGCCTCCTCCGTGACCTAGAGAAAACAACAAACAAACAAATGCAACCTGACTAAAAATTGTACTAAATTTAGCAAACTTTTATTGCTGGAGGTTGCCGAGTGGTTCTATTTTTGATCGTAATAGATGTTCCTACTGATTCACGTAGCTTTTGAATATCTAATCACACATTGGCTGTACCGCTCATGTTGCTGGAAGTTGTCAAGTTGCAGTATGTGAATGTGCTTTAACAGTCTAAAACTGTATTTGGTGATGTAGCAGCTGTATGATTCTTCACGAACTCACTCTCAAAGCGGTTGACCACGCTGTAGTCCTCTTTAGAGTAGACCTTCATCACAGCCTGAGTCTCTTCCTCAGCACTGGCTACACCCATCTTCAGCTCCTGCATCGCAGCCAGTGTGTCCAGACAACCTGCACACACAACCAAACAGAACAACTCACACTACAACTCAAGACTCCAATGTGTTTTTTTTTTAATTAGAATTAGTTTTTTCTCTGAGGTCTACTCATAAATGTTCATTTAATTTTTTTTACATCAAAACATTTTAATCATAATATAGTTTTATTCTGATCATTTTCCACTTTTGCTATAGAATTAAACGGTTAAAGTTAAAATCTGCTATTTTGCCTTCACAAACGACAGTTTGTACTGTTCTATAGTTTATAAGTATAATATAGCTTTCAAAATACTCGATCCTCTAATAACAGCCTTTTTACAAAGCAAGATCTTGTTGAAAATAAATACTTTTTGCTGCTCATTATAATAATTAAAACAAGTAAAAACTTATTATAATCCATTATAATAATTGCAATAATTAAATATTATAATAATTTAAAATAATGTAATTGTTTATTAATTATAAATTAAACTCATTACAATAATTTACTTAAAGGGATAGTTCACCCAAAAATGAAAATTCTGTCATTAATTACTCACCCTCATGTCATTCCAAACCTGTAAGAACTTCGTTCATCTTCGGAACACAAATTAAACACAAATTCCATGTGGTCTATGCAACCCTGTATAGACCGCAACACAACTGAAAGGTAAGGCCCAGAAAGGTAGCAAGGACATTGTTAAAATAGTCCATGTGACATCAGTGGTTCAACTGTAATGTTATGAATCTACGAGAATACTTTTTGTGCGCAAAGAAAACAAAAATAATGACTTTATTTAACAATTCTTCTCTTTTGTGTCAGTCTTTGATGTCACATGGACTATTTTAATGATGTCCTTACTACCTTTCTGGGTCTTGAACGTGTCAGTTGTGTTGCTGTCTATGGAGGGTCAGAAAGCTCTCAGATTTCATCAAAAATATCTTAATTTGTGTTCCGAAGATGAAGGTCTTACGGGTTTGGACCAACAGGAGGGTGAGTAATTAATGACAGAATTTTCATTTTTGGGTGAACTATGCCCTTAAACCATTGATTTGTAATGCTTATGGGCTGGAATGCACTACAGAACTTTTAAAATCTGAACAGACCTAGTTGCTAGAAGATGCATAACACATGAAAACCGTATGTGCTCTAAAATCAGCTCAAAATACCAAACATTTGATCTCCTCTGACTGGATAGAATCATAGTCTGAAGCTAAAAAGAGAGTCTGTTCCCATCATACACTACATGATTTTCTGTGATCTGGCAACTCCGATCAAGCAAGATCTGCAGACTGGCTCTGACTTTCGGAAACTAGTGTCGACTTCTCCGGACTGTAATTTCAAGAAAAATCTGGGCAAAAGTCATGTAGTGTATTCCAACCTTAAGCATCTGACGAATCTGCAGAGCAGTAGGTGCTACACACAGTCAGAAATAATAAAGGTTTGGCTGATTTAACCATAATTTACTCTTTTCAATTATTATTCTGTTCAGCATTAGAATAATAGCATCTATCCTAATTCCACTGAATTACTTCAGCGTGACTGGATGAGCCACGTTTCTGAATAGTAAACAGGCGTGGCTGATGTGTAACAGTAAGCTACAAAACTGAGAGGGAGCTGCTTTTTTAACTGGAGAAGAAGTTCTGAAAGTTACACTGTGTTTCCACAGTAAAACGATATCTTGTTCTCAAAAGATACAGGAAAATTTTATTTGACAGACAAAGCTCAAAGACTGACAGTCTTTCTTAGACAATGCCAGTCAACCAGCACCATTTCCTCTCTGTACAGCTGAGCTCACGGAGAAACAGCTAGCAAGCTTTGAATGTCCTACCATCATGTGACTTCATTCCTGACAGGCTTTGAGATCCTGCTCGACAAGAGAGTGCTGTGAACTGCACATTAAAGAGTAGTAAAGCTGAGCTCGAGTGACATGCTGCTGTCGTACCCAGGATGTGCAGCGCTCCGTGGGAGCGGGTGGTGGTGGCGTGGGAGCCCGAGGGCAGAGCCAGCTCAGGACTCAGGATGCTGCAGAGGGCCTGGATGTCCGAGGCAGTGGGCACACGGGCGTCTGCTATCACCGCGTTATAGCAGCACATCTCACGTGTGGCAGGTAGGAACCTGGAAGAAGAGCAAGACGGCTTGAAGTGAGAAGATATAGCTTGGGACAAGAGTTAAGCATGCAGCATGTCATTCATCAGTCAGATTTTTTACCAATATTTTTTCATAATTTATCATTTGTCTGCAGAACAGATGTCGACCACTGAAACCCTGAGAAACTGTGTACAGTGTTTTTTTAGGTGACATGATCGTAAAGGCATTATTACGAGTCAGCTGGCTCCAGATAAGCCTCACCTCCAGATGACATCATAGACAGGGTCCAAACAGAGGCCGAAACCCTGGAGATCCTCCTGCTCTGAGTCATTGAAGGTGCGGCAGCTCCCGTCCAGTTTGTTGATCAGTAGGCATTTGAAGGGAGGAGGCTCAGATACCAATGTTGGAACCAAACCTAGAGAGACCAGAATGGGAGGGAACAGTCAAAGGCTTTACGGGAGACACAACACATAGGCTTTTTAAACCACAACACGGAGTCAGCAAGAGAGCGCACCGATGATGTGTTTGCTGGCAAAAATCTCGGAGGTGGCCAGGATGTGGGAGTTGATTAGTGCCTCGTCGATTCTAAGGAAGGTTTGATCTCCGCTGGCCCCGATCCACGTGGCTTTTCGACCGTACTTGGCGCCAATGTTGGGCATCGGAGAGGGCTTGGCGTTCCAGTAGGGCATGTCTAGGATGGGCCGACCTAACTGCCCTTTCTGTTGAGACAACATGAGATACATCTTCTGGTTCTTAACCTACATATGAATGGAAATGGATGTAAAAAAATGTAACTTGACTGACTTAGTTTCAGGGGGAACAGCTAACTTACCGAGAAACTCCCGAAGGTGAAGACCTGCCCATCCATGAGAAGCACTGCAGTGTGGTTACTGCCTGCCATCACCTGAGTACTGGGGCCGGGCAGAGCTTGCACCAGAGTGGGAGACCCCCTGTGTGTTTGGACAAAATTCAAAGTAGCATAGGTTAAGGTTTATTTTATTTTTTTAAGTTTTATAAAATTTTATAAAATTAAAGATTTTCATTAAATAATTAATTGAAATAAGTAAATCATTAAAATAAAAAATAAACAATTTAAATAAATATTTTGTATAAAAAATATAAAATAAATATAAAACCAACAAATATTTAAAATTACTACATAAAACACATAAACATACAAAATAAACACAACTAAATAAAATAAATACATAAACAATTTAAGCAAATTAAAAATAAACAAATAATTAAAAAAATATTAGAAATATATAAATATATTTAAAATACATATTTAAAATAATTTTATACATAAAATATATAAATACATAAAATAAATATAATTACTTAAAATAAAATAAAATATTAAAATAAAGTACATAAATAAAAATAAACAATTAAAAACTAAAATACATTTAAATTCAATAAATACCTATTTAAAATAAATAAATGAATAACTTTATAATATAAAATAAACAGATATTCAAAATTATACAAGTAAAATACATAAATACATAAAATAAATACAATTAAATTGAAATGAAATGAAACAATTAAATAAAATTATTATGAAAAATTACAACAACAACATTTATTTTAAATAAATGCATAGATATTTAAAAGAAATAATTAGATAAAATACAAAAATACATACAATAAGTACAATTAAATAATTAAAATAATTAATATAAATAAGATAAAAATGTAAAAACAAATAATTACAATATTTAAATAAAAGAAAATTACATTTATTTGTTATTAATTTTCCTGCATCCATAGAGAGACAGAGTTCTGGGCTATTTTTATGATACTTTTAGGCTGATTATAATTTTTGGAGATTGACAACTGTTATCACTGCAAACTTAGATAACTGCATTCCCTTTAAACCCTCATTACCTAGAATTAACATCTCCATGTCCAAGTTGTCCATGTTGTCCATAACCAAAGGTGTAAACATCTCCATTCTCCATTAACACCACTGCCAAAAAACAGGTTTACCATTACAAATGGACACATGACTTCAATTCATACTTGGCATATCAAAAGAACAGGAACATCACATAATGACCCAAAGTAATGATGAGGAACATGAACAATGGCCTTCTGTCCCATTATCAAGGTCAGATGTGATCTTGACTCACCGGAGTGGTGGAAACCGCAGCTGACCTGCACGGCTCGCAGCTCACAGTCGAAGTGTACGGCCCCGGGAGGATATGTAGTGATCTTACTGGCATCTTTGTCCCCACGTTCACTGCTGCCATCTGTAACACAGAACAGAGCGTGAGCCTGGGCAGTAAAGGGCAGACAAGGACAGCGAGAGACGAGACGGATGTCTAAAGGCAGCGAGTGAAGTCGGGGGCTGTTAACGACCTGGGAAGAGAAATGATCTGGTGCCTCAGAGGAAAGGAGAAAAACAGAGAAGAAATGAAATATTGCCATGCGTGGACAGAGGCCAAACAGAGCAAAGGAGAGAAGATAAACCGAGCGGGAAGTTGTGATTGTATACAACCTTAAACTCTCTCTATCAAGGGTTAATAAAAGAGATTTGGCATTGATTGGAGGCACAAATCCAATAAAGGAACAGGAAAAGTAGACTCCTTTCACTCCACACTGATTAAAATAGTGCAGATCGGTAAATGTACCACGACACAGTGTAAAAATAAGTGCAGATCTGTGACCCCTGCATGCAAAAATATACAGGTATAATGCATTTTATAGAACAGAACATAGTGTTACATTTAGACCAGGGTCACAAATTCAGGATTCAGAGCAAAAATGCCACTAAAAGTGACAAAAATGCCCCACATATTTAAAATATCTTTGTTCATATTTGATAGAATATTATGAAATATATATATTGATGGGTTTAGGGACATTGTAAATGACCAACAGGTATCTGTATTCACTGGTGCAGAGGTAAATGTGGTTCAATTATATTTTAAATTGACGGACTTTGTGTTGAATAGCATAAGAAAATGCCCTTAAAGGATTAGTTCACCCAAAAATGAGAATTAGCCCACAAATTACTCACCCTCAAATCATCCTAGGTGTATATGACTTTCTTCTTTCAGACGAATCCAGTCGGAGTTATATAAAAAATAGTCTTTGATCTTTCAAACTGTTTCATGGCACTCAGCGGGTGTTGCATGCTTCAAGTCCAAAACAAGTTAAATAAAAAGCGCCCATCCATAAAAAAATAACGTGTCTCACACGGTTCCGGCGGGTGAACAAAGGCCTCCTGCAGCGAATCGATGCGTTTTTATAAGAAAAATATCCATATTCAAAACGTAATAATAGCTTTAATGTAGCTTGCACTCACTGTTGTAAACAGAAGCAGTTCCGGGCGGATGACGTATGAGGTCAGCTTTGCGCATGCACTCAGAAGTGACAAACATGGAAGCGCAGGGGAGAGATCAAAACAAAACAACAGTCACGAATTAGAAGTACAAAACGAGGATTTGTACAGAAGAATGTCTGAGGATTTCGATATAAGCCAAGAGGAGACTGGTTTTCCTTTGCTAAAGTAAGGAAACTTTGCTTCCTTTGATCCTGTTAACAAACGTTGGTTTTCACGAGACTCACCGGTGCATGCGCAACGCCGACCTCATACGTCATCTGCTCGGAGCTGCTTCTGTGTACAACTGTTGGCGCAAACTACATTAAAGTGATTATTACGTTTTGAATATAGATATTTTTCTTACAAAAACGCATCGATTCGCTACAGGAGGCCTTTGTTCACCCCCGGAGCCGTCTGAGACACTTTTTTTTATGGATGAGCGCTTTTTATTTAACTTCTTTTAAACTGAAGCATGCAACACCCGCTGAGTGCCATGAAACAGCTTATGGTTAGTAGTAGAAAGGAAGAGTATAGGAATAGAAATTCCCAAATATGGAATTTCTGTTTTTATGTAATTCCAAAACCTATATGCTGTCATTTTAGTGGTTAATCATTGATAATTCACTAATATTGAGTGACAGCTAATAATATTTGTTTTTAATTAATCTCTGAAATCTTTTTTATTTGCGTTCAAGTTTAAATGCGAAACTTCTTGCAGGCGACATTGTTTTTTTGTTTTTTTTTTACTAAATTGATTATGATATTCAATAGCTATAATGGGAGAAGATGGAAAATAGAAGTCGTTTTTTTGTCATTTTTGGAGTTTGGTAGTTGTGATCACTGTGAACTAGGGGTGTCACAATATACCAGTATTGACAATAATCGTAATATTTAAAAAAATGTATATGAATATCATGTTAATTCTACAAATAATAACATAATAAGGTTAATAATCCAGTACCGGTCACAGGTTCACACTACAACGTGGTAGGCCAAATATTAAGACACATTCAGATGGAGATTCAGCATGGCTATTATTTCGATGTTTCTTAAATAATCGCATAATGTTCTATTTATATTGGCCATGCACTAGGATTTATTTTAAGCCATTGTGAAAAGCTAATCTTGACTCAGAATTATAACTTAAAAGTCAGACTGAGATGCAATTTGCTATTTTAAGCAAAGACACCACATTTGGCCACTTTTTTTTTTTTTTTGCAATTAACGCGGCATGACAATTCCCTAGTCCTGCTACAGTTCAGAAAGAAGAGCCGTGTTTGGTTTAATAGTGATATTTTCCACCTGGCAGCAGGGTCTAATTGTTTAACAAACGCACTGAGCACAACATACAACATCTGGCCAATTGACTATTACAGTGGGGAAAATAATTATTTGATCCCCTGCTGATTTTATAAGTTTGACCACTTACAAAAAAATGAAGGGTCTATAATTTTTATGGTAGGTTTATTTTAACGGATAGAGACAGAATATCAACAAAAAAATCCAGAAAAAACACATTATATAAAGGTTATAAATTGACTTGCATTTCAGTAAGTAAAATAAGTATTTGATCCCCTACCAACCAGCAAGAATTCTGGCTCCCACAGATTGGTTACGTGCCCAAGTGGAACACAGATTAGTCCTGTTAATTATTTTCCCCACTGTATATGTTAGAAGAGAATAGAGGTAGTAAAATAGAAAGGTTTTTTTTCTTTCACCAGAGAGACAGAGGAAGAGATGCAGATAGAGAGAGACGCTACTGTGTCCAGAGAAAGCTGGAAGAGGCAGCAGAGTAGAGTTTGTTGAAGGAAGGGAGAGAGAGGGGCATTATGGGGCTCAAGGTGGAGTCTGTAGTGAAGACCGCAGTACCTTTGAGTCTCTCCCGCATTAGCTTAAAGGCCTGAAGGGGTCTTAGTCTGGCTAGCACCTGCTCACGCTGGTTCATTAAAAGGGGACCAGGAAAAACAAGGGGGCCTATGAGGGGAAAGAGAAACTTTCACATGCATGGGGCAAAGCATCTCACAAATGGAAAATAAAACATGGTATATAACACATGGTATATAATGAGAACACAAGCGAGAAGGGAACATCCACAAGCGACCCACTCCCAGAGGAAACAAGCACAAGTAGAAGGTAACGCTGAAAGTTTGGATGATCAGGCCGCTTTGGAGTATTATCGAGTAGGTAATAATACTCCATCTTCGAACCCAGAGGAAAATTTGATGGAAAATGTATGATGTGCTCATAATCAAGGAGAATGGATTATGATTAGATGTTTCTGGG